CCTTGCAACTCCTCAACCATCAAGATCAAATCAATGCGGGATTTAGAATTATGATTAGTAGAGTCTTTCCTAAAACATGTGTAGGTCTTGGCTGATGGGTTTAATCTCCTATAGGAATCAAAGAGATTAAAAGAATGGTATAAATCCGCTATGATCCTTTCATCCATTGTCTTGTAAGACGGACATGGAGAAGGAGGGCGCCACCTATCTAATTGGTGATCCGGGGCAGCATTAAAGTCCCCTGCTATGATTAGAGGAATGCCGACGGGCAGTCGTGGAATGATGTTACTAAAAAAAAAGTGTCTTTCCCCTACATCATTAGGTCCATACACACAAAGAATCCCTACTATTTCTAATTTCAACATAGCTAGGACATATACCCACCTTCCTTGTTCCTTATCTGCCACTGAGTAGGCAATCTCTGCTCTAGACTGCGGGGGAATCCAAATGGTCACCCCCGCACTCCCCGGGGAAATTGCATGGGCTCTGTATGCTTGGTGAGGTCATATCTGTTTATGAATATAGTTATGCATAACGGAATTCATCAAATGGGTTTCTTGGATACATATCACATCTGGCCAATCTTTCCCATTTATACCTTTTAATTAGTCGTAGATCGCTTGTTTTTTGCTTAGTTTGGCAGATACTAGACCATTCACATTTAAAGATCTTAAGTCCAGATCCGCTTGCCTTCTAAGCAATTTCCATTCCTTATCTTTGTTATATAAAGCATTAATAACTTTAATCCGTTCCATCATAAAAAGAGAGCTATCAAATTGACGTACCAGGCAAGTTAGGATGAATTCAGAGGAGGAAATACCTCTTACATTTTCCTCCACTGCCCAGAATCCAACACCCCATCCTTTTCCATAATACTATGCTTCAGTATCCTTGCAAGGATGATCCCAACATCCTCCTCTGACCAGAACAAACCTGCTTTGATTTTAATAATTTGAATCTCTTTCAGCGCTTCATGTCCAAACCATCTCAGTTTCTGATGTCTCTCTCCCTCATATCTTATGTAAACATCTCTCTCTGCTACCTTTTGTTCCTCCATTGTGAGTGACAGGATGGCAACAGCTCCTGGTGGGAAATTATCTTTTATGAATTTCGTTATTTTCATTTTGATCCAAGACTCCTCAGTCATACCACCAGTAAGGGACACTAGTGAGAGAAACTGAGGTTTGGTTCCTTGTACCGTTATTTCCCCGTATGCTGCACCCTGCAGAGAAGACAAACCCACCTGCCAACTCTCCCCCTTTCTTCTGACAGGCAAAATGACAATTCATGTTTTGGCTGGTGGTAAATCCCCCTGACCCAAAACCATCCTCTGCCTGAGTTTCTGTCTCTTGCTGGTGGCTGCTGAATCCGTTGCTTCACATTCTTTGAAGTCAATTCTTACTTCTTCCTTCCTTTGTGTCTCAGCCTCCACCAGCACAGACTCTTGAACTCCTCTTATTGAATTTTTTTGTACAATTATAAAAAAAAATTCCCCAGTTATTACAGACACCACTTCCTTAATTTCTTGAACAGTGTTTACACATTTCTGAGGAGATGGTCTAGGAGGGTTTTCCTCTTCAAGGTCATCAGAAAGTAATTTGGTAGGACTGGAAGGACTGGCCACTATACCTGACAACTCACCAGTGACATCTATGTCTTTATCCAAGAGTTGGATGCCATGACCAGAACCTGGTAATGATGCCCCATTGGACTGTGGGGAAATCAACGTGCCTGATGTTGCTGGAATCAAATTATTTCCATCTGACTGCAACACCACCCCTGAAGGACTAAGAAACAAATTTTCATTTCGTGCAACTATAGCCTCCAAAGCCTCTTCCTGTTCCACCTCTACCATGGGGAGATTAGGTGAGCACTACGCTGACAGGCTAACTGAGGAAGGGATCAGACTTACTGAAGAGGGTAGTTGTTGAGCTGGTAGGCTTACTGAGGAAGGGATTGGGAACTGTTGAGCTAGCAGACCCACTGAAAAGGGGATTGTGTTCCCTAGGACCAAAACCCCTGTTCCTGAGTGTGCCAACATTTTTTTTTTTTTTTTTTTTTTTTGGTTTTTCATAATTCCCAACCTTTCCTTAATCAGCTTATTTTGTTTGATCCTGGACTGGCTTGGAGTTAGTGGTAAATGATGAAATCTGCTCCGGACAGGTCCACAAGTGTTGAGTGAATTTTTCTTCTTTTTACCCTTGTCTCTTTCCTTTGCCAACTTCACAACCGATCTGTCTTCCTTATTCTTTCTATTCCCCAGGGAATGATGTATGTGCTTTCTTGCAATAGCCTTGATTTTTCTCAGACTACTTTTCTGTTCTTTGTCTCTGCAGTCCCCTTCATTCCAACTCCCTTGTTTCTCACTGGGAACACAATCATGAGAACAACTAGTAGGCAGCAGGTGAGGAAGAAATTTATCTGTCACTGCACTAAGTAATCTGTGATATATGTTTGACCAATCCGTACCCTGTGGAAGACCATTTTTCAGGGCCTGTTTCAAACTCTCACTATTGGTCAGTACTACCATCAGCTGATTGTGGAACTGCAACCAAAATTCCTTATCCCAATTCGGGAACTTGACTTGCAGATTCAGAATCAACCATTCTCCCAACATAGTAAGTTCCAATTGCAGATCCACTCCCCCTGCATTTTTATTGGCTAGCAGAGACGAAACAGGAGGGATGACAACTGGCACAGACTCTACTTCCATTGGCTCCTCACTCATTGCCAATTTCAACGGGTCAATATCCATTGGTTGGTTCTCGTTTGCAGAAACGTGTTCAACACTCAGGGACTTTCCTGGATGGTTTACCACTAATTGTTTCTGCACTTCAGAAGAGAGGGTTGTGTTTTCTTCAATATTCTTCCGCCCCTTCTTTCCTACTACCCTCCATTCCGTTCCTTGAGCAGAGCTTGATTTAGGAAGATAACTTGCCGGATCAGGCCCAAAATTCTTTGAGCCTTCACTCCTCGAACCTGCAGATTGTGTGGACTGCGTCAGACTGTCCCTCATTTGTGGTCCATTCTGTCTTTGGTCCCCATTGTCTCCCATCCCCATTGTCCTTCCCCCCTTACTTCCTGGGTTTGAGGTTTTTGATGGAAATTGTTGTTGTGATAACGAGGGAGAGGAAGAATGTGAGGGAGAGTGATTTTGCTGTTGTCCTCCTCTTCCCCCCCCCACCCCCCTTTTTTGCATCTGCTGCTGGTGTGTATGTGACAATTTAGGAGGCAGCCAATCCGCCGGTGGACGTGGAGGTTTTCTCACATCTCCCCTTCCATCCCAAAACCATCCGATTGGTTGACCAGATAAGAACACACTGAGAGTTCATAATTGACAATGCTGAAATAGTCCCATCATCATCAACGAAGAACCAGAGTTGATATCCTATCTGGCGCTCGGCGCCCAGACTACATGTGGCAGATCCTATCTAGCCTATACTAGGATGCCGAAAGATGACGTCAACAGCATTCCCAAAGTACGAGCATATGGCGACCAATGTCGCACGCTTCCAGCACCAGGTATGCCTCTCGCCACACTCACAACCTCGTTCCCCAACACACAGATGCCACTAGCACCCAAGGACCACCCCGCGCTTCACCCAGCATACAGCAGCACAGCTTGGCTATGGCTGCGTGCTCCTTCCCTGCTCGCCCGTGAGAGCGTAGGCGCCAGCCAGCAAATAGCGCAGCATGCAGCCAGCACCCGAATAAGGCAGAAGACAAGCGCCAGATGAGCGCAATCAAACCACAGCTCTGATACCAAATTTTCATGGTTTTTCGGAACTTTTTCCTAAATTTTCCTGAATTACTTCAATAATTCTAAGATTATTCTCAGCCGAAGCCCTGTAATGGCCCCGCCGCCCCGGTATCTCAAATGACTTGTATAATTCTATATGGGACGCTGGGCGCAGTTCCCAGCACGTCTGCTCCCCACGAATAGATTGAAGCATTTGTTCCCCCCCCCAAAAAAAAAAGACCTGATTAAGACGTGATGGCGCTTGACCCGGGGAAACACCACAAAGAAAGACCATCAGAAGTTCAAAGGCCTCACCTTGGGAGGGAAGAACCCAATCGCAGAAGGAACTACACATACTGCATTGGAGTATTTCCAGGAGTGAGGTGCCAGCAACAACAGTCCAACAAGTGTAGAGACGGGCTTCATTGAGCAACAAATTAACTCAGGTCTTCAGGCTGAAGACTACTGGTATTGGTACTGGTGCTGGCTCTGGTCTCCACAGCTATAGGGCAAAAGCCCTGTGAAAGTCACAGACATCCACAGATGCCTCTCTCTCTTTTTTTCTTTCCTTTTTTTTTTTGTCAATCAACCCTGCGATGAGCTCGAGGCGCTGATAGGAGCAGACGCATCAAGCTTCCTCGGGGGAGGCTCCATCTATTGGTGGGGAGCTCCACCTGCTGGGAAACGCGCCCAGCGTCCCTTTATACAATTGTACATTGACAAACAGGGACCAATTGAGGCAGCAGCACAAATCAGAACCAACCTAGAGTCTCAGCACAACTACAAACCCAGGTCCTCAGGGTCTCGCCGCACGGCACACGAAACGAAAACGAAACGAGTTCATCTGCCCACCAGAGGTGGCAAAACACACTCGTTACTATTTATAGCAAACCCATGGACCTCGCCATTTTCTGGGGAAGATACATTCGTTTCGTTTTCGTGTGCGGTGCGGCAACGCCCTCAGTCTGAAGAGCAATGGTACTGGTGCTGGTTCAGATATCCACAGTATGACAGTGCACGTGCAAAAGCGGCACAACGTCAGACTCAACGTCAACTCCCCTCTGTACATGGAGCCTCTCCCTAGGTGCTAGCGGTGGCTGCTCTTATCAGCACCACTAGCACCGGCGGGGGCGTTTT